AGGACTGTGAACAGAGCACACAACCCACACCAGCCCGGCCACACCAGCACAGCGACACACCGGAACAATGCAAACAGGAATTGTTGGCGGAAAATCTCAAAGCGCCTCCCAGGCTGCCAAGCCGACTGCGAACCGCAGAATTCTCAGGTCGGAGAAGGCCGATAGATCGTATTCGATAGCGGCTCGATGTACCATTTGTTTCAAAACATTAGGACATGATCTCAAACAAAAATTTTAGGATTTAATTTGGAAAAGCTAAAATGAGAAAATTCCTAACAATTTCACTTTCTATCCCCATTGCATACTGGAAACAATGAAAATTTGATCACAAAAGTCCCGTCACCTTAGATTTCTAAATTAACTTATGAGGCTATGTTTACATGGATTGCATTTTGCAAAAAGGAACCAAGCGCATTGCAAAGCTGCTAAAATTGTGCAACTTCTCTCGTCTTGGAAGAAAAATCTGATAATCTATAAACATTTTCTATTTTACACGCTAAAAACTGGAAATTTAAAACAAAAATTGCCATGTAAATTCCATACATTTGTATGATTACAGTGGTTTAATTGCTGAGGGTGGATTTGCACAATCTTAGCAGCACGGCAATGCTTCTGGTTCCTTTTTGCAAAAAGCAATTCACATATTAAACCAATCTATATCAAAACAATCTCCCCTTTTCGATGTGTCGAATACGATCTATTCAGAGATGGTGTTATTCGATGCATCGAAGCCGGGTCGGAAAGAGCGGGAAAACTAAAAATATCAGAGCAGGTCTTCTAGGTATGAGACAATGTATTTTAAAGGCTCCGCACTGCCTCCTTTCCTGCACCGACAGATTTTACAGTAAAAAAAGCTAATTAAACCACCCCCATGGCTAAATTAGCTTTTCACTATTGTGAAATTTATATTTATGAAACGCGTCGGACATATTTTTTCAACATTTGACTGTAAAATCAGCAACCGTGTTTTTTGGCGAATGTCAGTCCGGCACTGTCGATGGAGCCAAAGAAACCAAAGCGTTAGTTTTATCTTTTGTATGATGAACGCAGTGAACCAGTAAATAATCAGATCCCATATTTCTCGGGGAAAATACCCCCCTCTCCCGCCTAACATTGCGCATTTGTAAAGGATAACACTATCGAATTTATCGAAATTCGAGCTAAGAGGAGCCAACAAGAACGGTCTACCGGCCACGCCGCGCTGGCAAGGCTGCAAAACCGTATCCGTTGCGCAAATATGTTAACGATACAATTTCCCGGTCCGGAGTCTTGAAGACAGCAGTATTTTAGGCTCGGCAAACAGATTTGACGCGAAAAGACAAGCAAACGCATTGGGAGCGCCGCCCTCCCCGGCGGATCAGCTTCTAGCCGTGCAAATATTTGACGACAACCCGCACAACACAACTGCTACTTTGAATAATCACTACGTCTTAAATCTTAATTCGAATATGCCGGCTGTCCGCAATGACGTCTGCGCCGCTCTTGTTCTCGCAAGGGCACGCACCTGTTACTTTTAATCTTCGTTTACGTACGTAAATATCATCATATAATCTTCCCCCTGTAAAACGCCTACAATTTTAATGTAGGCAACAAGCACGGTGGCGGAGCACACATAGTTGCTCTAATGAAAAGACTCCTTTAAGATTGTTGCAAATTAGTAATTAGTTATCAATCACTTTATTATATCATGTTATTCCTCTTACTTTTAATCTTCGTTTACGTATACGTAAATATCATCATATAATCTTCCCCCGTAAAACGCCTACAATTTTGATGTAGGCAACAAGCTCGGTAGCAGAGCACAAATAGTCGCTCTAATGAAAAGACTCCTTTAAGATTGTTGCTAATCAGTAATTAGTTATCATAAACTTACTCATTCCCGTTTTAGCAACCAGTTGAGCAATATGTTTAACATACAAGTCATAATAGTTCAGTAAAGTCATTTTTGCAATGCTCAACTCGTAGGAACATACACTCGTTCTTGGGTGATGAAATCACAGCCTATGGAACGGAAAATCTGCTTTAGGTTTTTCTGACAGTTGAAATGACTGGAAATTTATAAAATCGAATTTTTCCCGCAAAATACCTTTACTTGACCTTCCAATAATTTCATTTCACGACCACACAGGCTCTTCTACTTAATCAATGTCACTTGCTCTTCTTTCTTCAATGCTCGTGTACATTTTTCGTGGAAGTAAAGCCGAGCCTCTAATTGAGGGATGTAGAATCAAAGGTTTGAAAATAATCCAACGAGTCTCTTTTTTGTCTCTTTGAAGGCAAGAGCAGGGACATAATCCGCATAATCGCGGAAAAAAGCTAGAACTTAGAGGTACGTGGAATAACTATATTAATAGAGTATGAGGGTGGGTCAGTTACCCACCGTCTACGATACTTGTATTTGCGGAACCTGGGACAAGCTTGCGTAGGCCGGCGGATACAAGCGATCGATCAACTTTTTGAGCGCCCGTAAATATATTCAATCAGATCGGGCCCAAATGCATGGTCTCCAATTTACATACATTATGTATGCGCTAAGTGTTTTCGATAACAAGTGGATAAATGAGGCTCCCGCACAAACTCCTTCGTCTGATGCTCCTGTGTTTTCCGTTTTACATTCCGCCCGGACTCACTACGTCGCACGGTGGATCGAGTCATTTAGAGAGGTCGGACATACAATTTTTGACTAAAATTGCGAATTTTGATGTTTATTTCGTCGCATTTTAAATTTCAAGGGGTGCATTTAGAAGGAAATGTTACGAGGTAACCACTGGAACACTTTTGAAACCTCAAATTTTTGTATAAACGGAGTTATAAGCGTTTAAGGTTTCCAAATTTTGTCCGACCTCTCCTACTGACTCGATCCACTGTGCGTCGCCCTATCTGTTAACGGGTAAAATGCGACGTGCTTATACTTCACATTTTCTCGGAGCCTCTCCTCGGGATTTATTTCTCAAGCTATGACCAATCAAAATTTCCGCGAATATTTTTGAAAATTTAATCTTCGAAGGTGGGTTTGTTCCCATGGAAAATTGAACCCTAAAGTCTGACACTCGGGTCTGTAGGACCTGAATCCTCGTTTTCTAAATCGAGAGGCTATATAATAAAGAAGAAGAAAAGAGGAAAGGAATAGATAAAGAGTAAGTAAAAGACGAGGAAATACAATTTTTCTCCATCATTTTCTTCAGCTTCTTTTTCCTCTCCTTCCTCTCATTCGTCCTATAATTAATTTTATTCTTTCCCTATTTTTCTTTCCCTTTTTGTTCTTCCTCTCATTCTTCCCTTTTTCTATTTCTTATTTTTCTTCTTCATCCTCCTCTTTTCTTTCTACTTCTTGTTCCTGTTCGACAGCAAGTGTATAGATAAATGGACCGCGCTAAGGATTGTTTATTGAGAATTTCGCACTTAAACGTCAAAATTAGTTTTCCTAAAGAGGGAAAATTTTAATAAGGGATGACTCATCAAAGTAGGTTAAAGGAAACTCTATATCTTATGCTCAGATACCTATCTTTTTTGCGATTTCGG